CCCCCCCCCCCCCCCCCCCCCCCGAGCCTGAATTACAGTGGTCCATAAATATGCATAATGTTGGCCATCAGGTACTAAAGACATACCGAGCTTTGTTTCTTCATATGCGGCATAATGATCATGCAGTAAGTTATTTGCTTAGACACCAGCAACCAGACATATAATATATATGCACCATAACACAGAAAAAGGAAATGTATAATTAGAGAGAAATTTTGAAGGTTGGGTATTAGGTGATTACATACAGTATGGACTTCACTTATTCTTCTGGTTTAATTACTATGCAATATCTCAAAACATTAACAGGAGACAACTCATTCTCTTACAAGAATGATAAATACAATTTATGTGACTCCATCATCCCATGATTAATAGGGTCTTTTTTATTCATGAAGTTAGATGTCAGACTATACTGAAAAATGTGTATCATCTTAAATGTATTTATTCCAAAGCTTGGTAAAATTGCTCTGCATTGTTACAGATAGAAACAGTAACAACCACTTTTCACTGTGTTATGGATTAAAACAAAACGTATGTCAAATGATAACCTTAAACTCTGTGTCTTGGAAATTTCATTTTAAAGTTGCCAAACAAACTGGCTCCAAGAATAATATATTTAAATCAATTTATGGGAGACCTTTTTTGTTCTCTAAACCAGCATCTATCCTTGGAAATTTTCAAGACCATGTTGGACAGACACATGGCTGAACTGTTTTACTTAGCAACAATTCTGTTTTGAACAGAACAAGATGACATTGTGAGGTCCTTTCCAATCCAACTTCCCTATGATCTTGGGGTCCACCCTGAGGAACTGACTACTGGGACCAACTTCAGATACTCCTTTCTGGACATATTCCCTTTCCCTCTCTCCCTCCCAGTTAATTTTGTTTATTTTTAGATTTGTAATTTTAGGCCTATAAGACACCTTGTATACCTATAAGAAATAGATACAATAAACAAGAAATATAAGAAGTCATACAAGAAGTATGATGATAGCTTTTGGAAATTTATATTAATCTGGATTGCAGACATACACCACCTACCTTCAGGACTTTCTAAAATATTTTTTCTGGAACAAACAACCCTTTACATGTTTTTTTTTCCTAAAGTGGTACTCCAGTTAATAGAAAATATCACCCAAAAAAAGACTCCTTTGGAAAATGTTGGCTTCAATGTCCATATAATGTGGGCAACAGAGTAAGGAAGTTCCCATTAGAAAATTTCTCAAGTGAAAGTCTCACAAGGTAAGTACAAAGAATATCTATTGCATTACAATTTCCCACTAGGTTGCTGCTTTCATCAGAAGCCATTAGATTAGCTGATAAATCCCTAACTTTATTTGACCCCACTTCTACTGTGACATCTTAAGTATTGCTAGAATTTAGAAGCCATGAAATCAATAGAGTTAAATGAGCATAAAACAGAAGTAATGTATTGTTATTTCAGGCCTCGTATATTTTTGTTATCCAGGACTTGCAAGGAAGATTTGGTATTTTTGAATAAAACAAGATCCAATGTCTGCTAAATAACACAACTATGGGAAATAAGTCAGTTGGCAGGAATAATTTTTGAAAAAATATGGGGGAAATATTTGTTTTAGAAAGTGAGAAACAGGAAACCCAAGGGAATTTTCTTGTTTTCATCAACATAATTCCATTTTCCATAGAACATTGGAAATTGTAGGAAAAAATTCCCAGAAGCCTATTATCTGGATACCAAATGTACCAGCAACCCTGACGGGTGGAGCCTTTTAATTTATTTATTTCATTGTTGACTTTCAAAATTATTTCCTCCCTTTCAATTATCAAAGATTTTGGAATGCCATTCAGTAAAAGCCAAACCATTGTCTTGGTAGATTGATTATTTTATGTATATCTTCTTGTGCTTCAGAAAGAATTATGCAGTGGGCTTGGTGGAATAAAGGGTCACATTTTGCTTAGTAATACTAGAAACAACATTCATCAACATCCTGAAAAAATTCTTCAAGGTACAGGGGTAAATCTCTTACAACTGAAGTTCTCTGTGCAAGACTGAATTTATGACAGATTCAAAACACTGTTTACTTTTGTAAGCCTCAGGGAGCATGTCTACACATGCTTTTATGTGCACCTAAACTTAATGTGCATTAGCCTAATATGCATTAAGGCGATTCAGGTACGCTTCCAGACATGCATGCACTAATGCACATTAATGCAGGTGTGCAGACTGACTTGGGATTAAAGTTAGTCCCAAATCCATGGACACACACTGCATTAATGTGCATTAGTTCATCTACATGTTCACTAATGTGGTTTAATTATTTGTGCATTAATTTGATATCTGCTTTATGTAGGTATCAAATTTAGGCTCGAATACCCTTAAATCACCATTTTTAAGGCAATTTAAAGGCACATACCTCATGGCCATGCTCATCTGGACACAGCCTGTGGGTCCACTTTTTAGGACTTTAATGATAATGATGCATATGTGCTGTGGGACTCAGAGTTAAGAGATCTAAATATGGGTATAAGCCACAAGAAAGGCAATTAGCTATCAACATAAAAATTGTCTCGAGTGGTGTATTGCCCTTGCAGTAATGACTTACAGGGCATATTAAAATATGACTCCTTACATATCTGAAGAAAATCTTGACACTACTTTCCATTCAAAATTCTAGTTGATTACACTGAACACTCCTGTCATTAATCCACCCCAAAACCACAAATGATTTTGGGATTCAGAGCATTTCCTACAAA